ATTACTACTATATTATTAAACCGCTAATGTATTTCGACAATGTTATTCCTTCATTTTGTATTGGCTAAGACTGTTTTTGAAAGTTCTGTCGTCGCATGAAATAATGCTCTTTTGTGAATAATATGCTATTTTCATAACTGCTGGGAATATACAACAGATAATCATGACTCTCAAGAAAAGTTTGTGCTATTTTTAGTCAGCGCCCTCTACGCCAAATCTGAAAAGGGCACAAAACGTGCTTACGAAAATATGCAACAATTTTGTGGTTTAATGATTTAATTCATTTCAACGCTACATTATTCGAGCTCATATAAATTTGTAAACATATACAAGTATTCATCGATTTTAAGAATTTTCATTTAACTGGAAAAATCTCTCAAAATTGGCAAAGTTAAACTTTTAATATTCTTAAGCTATTTATCCGTCTTAAGGACCGTATAACTGTTTGCTGCTAGATGGTATATATAGTTTAAAATTATAGCTTTGCCAGATTGTAAAGCACATAAATAGTGACTCTTATTTTCATCGGCGAAAACCTTCATACACTAAGAAGGAATTAGGATCTTGTGATGAGACTAAGGGAAACTTTTTTAACGGAAAAATGGAGCAAATTAAAACTTGAAAAAGTTCTTTGTTAGTTTTGATAAGAGAACTGAAGAATAAGAACTGGATCAGCGAAACCCTTTGTAAAACATTAAGAAAGAACTAGCCCTTTTAGCAACTGAGTCTTCTGGAAAATTTTACATGGAAACAATGGAACAAATGAAAACTAGGAAAAAGTTCTTTGTTAGCTTTGATAAGGGAACTGAAGAATAAGAACTTAATCATCGAAAACCTTCGTAAAACAATAATATGAAATTGGGTCCTTTTGCAGCTGAGTCGTTTGGAAACTTTTTTCCCAGAAACAATGGAACAAATTAAAACTAGAAAAAGTTCTTTGTTAGCTTTGATAAGGGAACTGAAGAATAAGAACTGAATCATCAAAAAATCTTCGTAAAACACTAATATAAAATTGGGTCCTTCTGCAGCAGCTGAGTCGTTTGGAAACTTGTTTCACAGAAACAATGGAACAAATTAAAACTAGAAAAAGTTCTTTGTTAGCTTTGATAAGCGAACTGAAGAATAAGAACTGAATCATCAAAAAATCTTCGTAAAACACGAAAATGAAATTGGGTCCTTCTGCAGCTGAGTCGTTCGGAAACTTTTTTCACACAAACAATACAACAAATTAAAACTAGAAAAAGTTCTTTGTTAGCTTTGATAAACGAACAGAAGAATAGGAACTGAATCGGCGAAAACCTTTGTAAAACGTTAAGAAAGAACTAGCCCTTTATCAGCTGAAACTTCTGGAAAATTTTACATAGCAACAATGGAAAAAATGAAAACTAGGAAAAAGGGAACTGAAGTATAAGAATTGAATCAGCAAAAACCTTCGTAAAACACTAAAAAGGAACTAGGCCCTTTAGCAACTGGGCCCTTTGGAAATTTTTTTTATGGAAACAATGGTACAAATGTTTGGTGAGAAAAAATGGCGAAATGTTTTTTTTTTAATCAATATGATGAATTTAGAGAATATATATCTGCATACAGTTTACTTACAGAAATAAACACAGATGTGGTCAACATCATCTAACAATACATCCAACATTTTCTTATCAACAAATTCTATAACATCTTCCTTTTTCTCTTTATTTTCTACGAGCCAATTTAAGACCTTGTGTTCATCCATGAGGTCCCCTAGGATAAACAAGATGTTTCTTATAAAAAAAAATAATTTCATTATTTTGAGTCTCAATTTTTACAACTTATTTAAGAAACAAAATGCACCAAAAACATTTTTAAAATGCATGCAAATAAATAAGAATAGACTTATAAAATAATATATGGTATTTAAAGCTATTTGATACCTTATTTTTAATAAGTCGTAGTCATCTGCCTTAGCTTTTTTTCTCAAAATCATTTTATTTATAGCAATGTTATAAAAAGTTACCAAAATATGACAGTAAATTTAAAAAAAAAATTGTAATTTAAAAATATAGGGATTAATAAATGCGTATTAGCAATTTGCTAAGGAAACACTGATTTCTAGTAGATTTCAATAAAAAAAAATACAAAATTTATCGATAGATGGCACTGTTGATTCAAGAACTAAATATAATATTTTCTGCCGCATGTTAAGCCATTCTGAGTTCTATTTGCACAGGCACCTGTTAATGTAATATTCCTCAGACAGTACCGTATCGCTGCTGCAAGCATTTTTTATTTATTTTGAAAACATTAGTGTATAATTTTTTTTTTAGTTGGTCTTATTTTCTCTTGGTGCCTGGTGACTTTTAACATTAAATATTAAAAGCTTATAGTTTGTCGCTTTTCTGTTGACTTTATTCNCACTTTCGCTTTATTTTTTAATGTAATTATTAGTTTTCGATGGCAAAAACCTCGTTTACAGGTAGCAGCAGATCTGCTTTTTTGTGAACTACGCGTCGAAGTACTAATTTGAGATCAGAAATTAAGATGTTAAATTTCCATTACACCCATCCAGCCGAATTCAATAGAGTATTGCATTAAAGAGGAAAGAGTGGAAAAATAGAAACAGTCACGCTCTGCTATAGCATCAGAATAGATCAGCGAGACTTCCTATCAGGTTTGTTTAGTTTCTTAAGAAAGAAGGCGAATTGTTTAATTTATTACAGGAAAAATTGTTTCTCACCTTCGTAGAATTGTGGGAATCTTTTCTTGAAAAATACTAGAGTGGGGAACGTGATGATACCATATTCTTCAGTGATGTCGGCATCAGAAATTTTTACGATGTCTATATCGAGGGCCTCAACTTCATTATCTATGGTTTCAAGTTCTCCCAATACTTTTTCACAATCAGGATTATGTTCTTTATCTGAAACAATAATTATAAATTCAATAATTAAAAACAAATAGTTTTTACGATTCACACGAGAAAAAACTCTATATTGAAGAGTAATGTACTAAAAATATCTTTCAATTAATCTTTTTTCTAAAGATATTATCTTTTTGTAAGTTTTTTTTAAACAATCGAAACATCGTGTGCTATTTGAATTAAATAATTTTTTAATAAAATTTTGAATTCATACATCATTTATTTTTTTTTATATATGAGGACGCTAAGTTATCGCAACAAAACAATGCAAAAATCAAATAATGTCCTCAACTTAGAAGTACAGACTCATCATAAGGTAACTGAAAACAAAAATAAAGTAATGCTGAAGATTATTAAGAATAAGAAATATAACGATACCAATTTTGATAAATTGATAAAAGTTTCAAGAAAGAAACTAAATCTCTGTATTTTATAAAGAATAAAATAGTTGGTTAGTCAAAATACATATCTTATTCTACTACATTCGTTAGGTTTCGAAGTCTAGCTAAGAGCAAAAGTAGAAAATAATTAATCAAAAAATAAATAAGTAAAATAAATAAGTTAATTAAAAATAAATAAATAAATGAAAAATAAATGAGTGAATGAAAAATAAATAAATAAAAAAAAAATTAAAAATAAATAAAATTAATAAGTACATAAAATAATAAATAAATAAATTAAATAATAAAGGCAATTCTAGTTAAGGGTTTATTTCAAGGGCTCTGCTGTCACATGAAGTTACTCTTTTTAGGATATAATACACTAGTTTTTTAACTGCAATTATTGTGATTGCGAGATTCAGTTTTGCCTAAATTTAAAGAATGCACCTATGCTTATTCCAAAAAAAATGATGCAAAACGTTACTATGAAGAGAAGTTGCAGTTTTCAAGAATTGAAAAACATCTGTGATCTAATTTTTTACTGTATGAATGGTTATTTTAGCACAATATTTTGGCTCAAAAAAATTTGCGAAAATTGATAATTAGTCGTGGATTTTATCAATTTATATTCCGTTAAAAACAACTCGCCAAATTGGCGTATTTTTCCAAAAAATTCTTACTAACTTTTGAAATGTTTAAGCCCAAATAATTCATTACGATTAGATGGTGTATGTTAATGGTGGTGTAAATTAAAGTCATGTCTCGAGTGCAAGACCATTAAACTGAGGCTTTTTTATATTTCCTTGAAAAATCCCTTAATAAAGTTGATCTAGGAAAAAAAACCTATTGAGTATGATAATTTAAAAAAAGGGAATTACAGAAAAGAACTGCCACGTAAGGAGAAGTGTCCAGCAACTTATCCAACATTCTCAAGTTAACTTCATCAATTTTATCCGGAATGTCAAGAGCTTCTTCACTTGTCACCCACTTCAAGAGGGCATCCTCGTCAAGAAGATCTCCTGAAAAAGAAATCATTATAAACCTACACTTGTTATTAAACATTCAATGCTCTCTAAGAAAGCAATGATTTTAATGAAGAATATTGTAACACTAAGTAAAAGGGAAAACAATATAGGGCGTTCTAAATAAACTGATGATTTTCAAATATTCATAACCGGAACTCTGAGGAAAAAAAATCGTGCTGCGAATTCAAGTTACAGAACATAAATCATACTCAGAGTTTCTGGTTAAAATAAAGTTTCCCGAGAGATTCACTGCTAATATTACATCTGCATATCAAAGAAAAATATTAAGAAAATTAGCTCATAATTTTTCTTATCAATCAATCTAAATCAAGTTTTCGGAGGACGCAAGTAGCATTTACAATGCCATAAACTACTAAAAGAACTTACAGTGTCATCTGAGAAAAACTTTTTAAACAATGACACGGAATTCTGAAAGTTAAGCTCGTGGTATAACACATATATTTCCTTCAAAAATATAATAGTTGTTTTTTATCCTGTTAAAAAATTTTAAAACCTTCAGTCCTATTTAGCACAATCTGTATTCACCATTAACTATATTTGTGTAACTTTTACAAACTCTTTGAATTAAGAGACTTCCAAATTTTTGTGTTATCTCTCAAATTTCTGAAAAATGCATTCATCCCCAATTCTCACCTCAGTTGGAAAATTCCCTCAAAAAAGACATTTTCATTGATATATATAAAACTCTAAAACTAAAATATTAATTTTATTACTGAAAAAAATTAATAAATTAAAATAACTGCATATTTCTTTCAAGTTAATAAATTATCAAACCAAAATAGCTTTTAATAAAGCATTCATTTATATAAACTTATATTAAAACAAATAAGTTCTCATATTTTTAAAGAAAATAGTGATGAGTAATGTGTTTTTTTTACCTTTGTATACCATGGGTACTCCATTGCGGAACAAAACAATGGCAGGGAATTCGGTAAGTTTGGCTTGTTT